TAAATCTGAAATATATAAGTATTATAAAATGAGTGAAATAGTCTGAAGCTCTAACCTGTCTAAAATAGCCATATTTACAGGAACTAGATTGTGTTTTGTTTTATCTACTCATATATGATATCAATCTTTACAAAGGTATACTGAATTCCATCTAGTACCTTAACTTCATTAGGCACTTTTAAAGGATTGGATTGTACACAAGCTAATACAACCAATCAGAGCCCTCAACAGAAAGTTTCAACATTCTGATTTGTCTCATGTGTATACCAGAATATATTGATTTGAATATGTATCAGTAACTATTTCAGTAATAGATGATTTGTTACCAGCTGAGAGTTTGTATACTACTCAAGGTGATGGTAGTGTTAGATTACGTATGACTGATAAAGGAGCTGGTTCAGAAGCACCACAAACTGTTGTCTCATTATTACAAACTACTGCTGAACGAATCCCTAATAATGCTGCTATATGTAAGTACTTCTGTTAATAGGGACAGAAACAGTGGTCACCATCTTGAACATTTATAATTGATAAGTTTAATGGAGGATAATGCAGATTTTATGCGAATATTCTGATAATGTTCACTATCAACCACTTCCATTTGTCACAGCCCAAGCGCTTTGTACTTTGTTACTTTTTTTTTTCACTGACCAGATTTGTTGGTGTGGTGTTTCAATTTGAACCTTGTCATTCTGTATTATAATATCAATATAGGATTGTCTGAATTATCAGATTTATTTTGTTTTTAGGTGTTAAAAGAAATGATACCTGGCTTAGATGGACATACAAACAATATTATGATGATTCATGTAGGGCTGCCAAAAGTTTCATAAAGGTAAATGAAAAATAAATATACTTACAAGAATTAACAAATTAGAAAGAGTTTTTCCAGCTTTTTATGATTTCCGATGTAGCACCACCAAACAGGGAGCGACTGTGAGTTAGACGCTAAACCTGAAAGCCCAGGGTTCAATCCCAGCATAACTATGATAATACCTTTAAGATGTTTCAACCCGGTTTCCCCCCGTTATTGATGCAGGTCGGAGGGGCTGACATAGAAAAAGCTTCTAGTCCTCTGAAGGAGTCAATAAACAAACAAATGTGCTACAGACACTTTAAAGATACCTTGTCACTTGGATATCAAAAAAATGTAGATTAAAGCAGCTATCCTGACAAAATTTACTTTCATTATCTTCATCAGCCCAATTGGAATATAGGACATTAAGCTACATTCATTTTATTTTCTAAATGCAAATGAATTTGATAAAGACAATACGCCTGGGATAATCACAGATGTCAAAGTGGAATTTGGCATAAGAACAATGTGTATTGGAGATACAAAGACAAAAAACCCAGTAAAAACTAATAATTTATTTCAGGCAGGGTTAGAACCATATCATGGTGTAGGTATTATGGGTTTTAATAGTCCAGAATGGTTTCTAGCTGATATTGGTTGTATATTTGCTGGGTAAGTTTTCTGATCATACAGAAAAAAATACAAGTATAGCAAAGAGATTTGTTACTTTTTTCTTGTTAACCATTTGTTAGTTATGCTTTTAATCAAGACAAGCAATTACTCTTGTATATATAGTTAATATAACTACATATTATGTTCATGTATTTTCAGTGGCTTTGCTGTTGGAATCTATACAACAAACAATGCCGAAGCTTGTCAGTTTATAGCCGCTGACAGTAAAGCTCAAGTTATAGTTGTAGAAAATACAGCTTATTTAAAGAAAATTTTACAAGTGAAAGATCAATTACCAGATTTAAAAGCTATAGTTCAATATTCTGGTGAAATAGAAACACCACAAGATAATCTATACTCAGTAAGTCCAATTAATTAAAAATTAAAATGATTTGACAAAATGTGATTATTGAACCAAAGGTTTTCATATCATATGTGACATTTTTCATAAAATTTGTGTTATTAACGAAACCAATCGAAAAACTGCATACTGCATAGCCTTAAGTTGATCACATTAAAGTTGTATTTGAGGTTTCCACCCTTGATATATGTCCACATTTATTGATTTTTGGCTAACTGTTTTGATTCTTTTGCTGTCAACTTTTATGTCTGTTTTTCTGTTTTTAGTGGGATGATTTTATGAAATTAGGAGATGATTTACCTGATTCTTCTCTTGAAGAAAGATTTAAAATTCTAGCACCAAATAAATGTTGTACTTTGATTTATACAGTAAGTTTTTCATTGGTTTTTATTTTCTTGGTTCATGGTGCCCAACATGTCTCACTAATTGCATTGAGACATTGAAACATGGCAAGTTTTTCTCTTTGCACACTATCTGTCATAGCCTAATGTTGTATAGAGGATGCATTATAATGCAGATGAATTATATCTATTTCAGTCAGGTACTACTGGTAAACCAAAAGGTGTCATGTTGAGTCACGATAATGTAAGTAAATAGGCTTACTCTTACAAATCTAACTGAAATGAGACAGTTAGTTGAATATTCTATAGGTTCTCTTCTGTCCTGCATGCAGTCTAAATACAATGGAAGCAATCCAATTAATCACATTGTCAAGCTATTTAAAAGCTTCTTTCTTGTAACATGGAAAACAGGAATTTGATTGAATTTAAATACGGCCAATCAGATTTGACAGAAAGATGGTAAGCAATATGGGTGATTTTTAACAGACTTTCTGTCAAGGCCTCTAATTGGCTGTATTTGTTAGATTACAATCCAATCAAAATGCTGCATTTACAAACTTTCGTTATACGAGCAAGGCAGCTATTGTAGTCAATGTATAAGATGAAGTTCGGAATAGCTTGACATAGTGAAGATACTTTCACAACCGAAAACTTTATTGTATTGCAATGTGATACTTAATATGGTGTATAGAGGAATACCCACAAAGCTAGATAATTTTGTATAAAGATGGTATGTTTGGTAACTCCAATCAGACATGAAAAACTAATGAACAGGTTACAGAATAATATGTTCTGTTTTAGGTAACATGGACTCCAGTAAATGCAGGACCTCTTGGTGGTTTATTATTTGGTGTTGAAAGATTAGTCAGTTATTTACCATTAAGTCATGTTGCTGCTCAACATCTTGATATATATTTACCTATTTATTTTGGTGCTACTGTATTTTTTGCTCAGCCAGATGCCTTAAAGGTGAGTGTGGAAAATATTGTAGGGTATACTTACTATTCTAGACACCTGATACCACTTTTCATTATGAAATATTTACTTATGATTGATATACCTCCTCATGTGAAAGTTTATTAACTGCTACCGGTACCAATAATTCACCAATATGTTGTTCTGAAAATCGGGTTTTGTTTTGGGGTTTGTATCGTTAGTACTTGGTTTATTTATTCTTCAGTTTAAGCTTGTTTCAAACAGTTGTTGTAATAGTTGGTTGACTAAGGTAAAGAATGCTCACCTTCTGGTACACCTGATTGCACTATGCCACTGACTTCATCCATCTGCTGTCCCTCTGGAAGAAGGCCATATGGCTGATAAATCTATATGTATTTCATTATTTGAACTCCTTTACTTGTAGGGCTCTCTTTTGGCAACCCTCAAAGAAGTTCGTCCAACAGGGTTTATGGGTGTACCTAGAGTGTGGGAAAAGATGATGGATAAATTGTTAGAAATTGGTCGAAATAATAAAGGTTTAAAACTGAAAATTGCTACATGGGCAAAGAGTATAGGTCTGAAGGGTAATAAGAATAAAATGAACAAGTAAGTACTATTTCTTATTTCATTTAAGATAGGTTAAAGGATTTATCTCTTTTATGGTCAGTGTCATCTTCACAATGTTTTACGAATTTGTCTTGACTGCTATAGCCACTATTAAATGTACTGATTTGCAAATACAATCAATCAGAGCTCTCCACACAAAGACTGTGGGTCATGCATGTGGGTTTGGTTGGAAAACAGGACCATGTTTAAAGATATATTACATGAATTTTCATTTGGAGTGTTGGGTGGTTTGTGTTTACCAGAATGCCATAGCTTAGTAAATACAACTGAATTTTATGATTTTCTTAGTGCTAGGAAAAAGGGTTGCTGGTAAAAATATTTTTAACTTTTGAATATTTGCATCAAATGAATGTGTCATCCTATTTCTTACAATCTCCTTTCTTTTTCTTATTCTTATTGCTGCATTTGTGATTTCATATATTTTTCTTATTTCTCGAATTTATAAAAGAATGTTAGCCTACTCTTTAAAGCTTTCTTTTTTGTCAAATTCTTACTTTTTTCTTTATTTGAACACCCCATATAACAATTGTCTTTAGAAATCATTGATATGATTTGATGTTGTACTTCTATTATTTCCTTCTTTCTTCTATTATGTTCTGGATGTTCTCATGTCAGATTGTTCTAGATATTCCAATACTTCCAGATGTTCCAATATGAGAAGGTTCTGAATGTTCTCAATCTTCCAGTCTCTGTGTTCCAACTGTAAAAGATAATATTATTTACTATGTTTACAGAATTATCTCATCAGCCTTATCCTCCAAAAAACTTCATTAAGATACAATCCTAATTTTATAATCTGATAAGATGATAAAACTTACTTTAAAATCGAATTTTATGTTTGACCAGATGACTGGGAATACTAAAATTATCTTAAGTTAACTTTTAAATAATAAGGTCTGTTTTAAAATTGATGTTACTGAAATATTGAGTTATATATTACTTCAAGGTTTAATCAAGAGAATATTCTATTTACAGTGGCAGTGTACCATTTGGTTGGACCTTGGCTAATTCCCTGGCTTTTAAAAGAGTTAAAGAAGGTTTAGGATTTGACCATTGTAAGATAATGTTTTCTGGAGCTGCACCTATTACTAAAGAAACTCTAGAATACTTTATGAGTTTAGATATTATGGTAGATGAAGTATATGGAATGAGTGAAAGTTCAGGTATAATATGGCTTAAGAATATACTACATCATATTTGGCTTATAGTCCAAGTTGGAAGACGTTCTCATCAAAAGCTTGGGCTCTGTGTGGTATAGGCTGTGCATCTGACAGCTGAGCTATTGGAAATCAATATATTAGGTTAATGCCTAAAACAACGTTTTGTTGAAATTCCCCTCATTACAATGCATGGCAATAGCCAAAAAAGTCATATAATACCATGCAAAATCTTTCTTTGGTCAATTTATCATGTTTGTTTGGTTATTTTGTAGGACCTCATTCATTCAGTAGACCAGGTTGTCGTAGATTTGGTAGTGTAGGTTCAGTATCACCGGGTGTTTTTACTAGAATAGATAATCCAGATGAAGAGGGAAATGGAGAGGTGATTATATTATTCTATAATTAACTGTTGTACTTAAATTAGGAGATCTAATAATATATAAAACAACTAAACACATTTTTGAAGCAGATGACATTATTGGTTGTCATTAAATTCTTAACTCTTAACTCAGGTATATTACAGTTAAAGTTATATTTCAGATATTAATGTATGGTCGTCATGTATTTATGGGATATTTACAACAAGAAGAGAAAACTAAAGAAGTAATGACAGATGAAGGTTGGTTACGTACTGGCGATATAGGCAGAGTTGATAAAGATGGTTTCCTCTTTATAACTGGCAGAATAAAAGGTAGGTTGCTTACCATACGGTACATTTATACCGTAAGAACTTGGATTACTTAAATTTCATAGGATATAGTAAAGAATATAGGTCCAATACCAGTAGAAGATACTGATTGTTTACTCTAATAAATTGATTGTTTTATAGAAATAATAATTACTGCTGGTGGTGAGAATATAGCTCCAGTACCAGTAGAAGATACTGATTGTTTACTCTAATAAATTGATTGTTTTATAGAAATAATAATTACTGCTGGTGGTGAGAATATAGCTCCAGTACCAGTAGAAGATACTGATTGTTTACTCTAATAAATTGATTGTTTTATAGAAATAATAATTACTGCTGGTGGTGAGAATATAGCTCCAGTACCAGTAGAAGACAATGTAAAAGAATGTTTACCATGTATTAGTAATTGTATGTTAATTGGTGATAAATGTAAATTTTTATCCATGTTCCTTACTGTCAAGGTATGATATATTCTAAGATTTTAATTCCGAGACTAAGGATAATGATAATGATCTTCAATAAACTGGATTTAAATTTAGTGACTTTATAGTGATGATGTTTTTATATTGAAAAGCTTTTGATAAACTTTTGAATGTCTTTGAAAAGTTTTGGATGAATGAAATACATTTTACATCAAAATTAGACTATGGAAATTGATTTACTGTTATTTCACATCTTCATATCAACCACCTCCAGTTACTGTAATGACATCTTCTAACCTACATTTTGAGCTTGTGTCTCAATTTTGCAAAATCCCAGAGTATTTTAATTTGGTTAAAAACTGATATTTTTGTATTTAGTGCCAGATAGATCCAGAAACTCAAGAATCTTTAGAACCTTTAGATAAACAGGCTATAGAATGGTGTGAGAGTATAGGTAGTTCAGCTAAAACTGTCAGTGAATTCCGAGAAGATGAAATTGTAAAGAAAGCTATACAAGAGGGTATTACTGCAGCTAATAAAAAAGCTGTCAGCAGGGCAGCCACCATACAAAAGTGGAAAATTTTACCTCAAGATTTTACAGTGTTTAGTGGGGAACTAGGTAGGTTCAATAGTATGATTTTCATTTGTAATAGAAATGGAATTTGATTGGACCACTAATTGTTAGTGAATCAATCAGCAATAATTTCACATATGCACCTCTAGAAGTGGAAGTTCGCCTGAAGTTACTAGACCACAAAAAAAGTTATGGCACAATTATGAGCTATAACACAAACCTTTATGGTATTTTAGAAAATACAGATTTATTAACTATTGAGACATATCGTTGGTATTCTATAATTCCATTTCCATACATACTTATTTTCAGGTCCAACATTAAAACTAAGAAGACCAATAGTAGTGAAGATGTATTCCAAAGAAATAGAAGAGTTTTACGCAGAGTAAGATGTCAAGGTCATACATTCCATCCATATCAAAACACCACTATAATTTGTGATACAAACAAAATGGAATTTTTAGTTAAAATTTATTTAAATTAATTATATTTTTATATTTGTATATTAAGGGAGAGTGTCCGCTTCAAAAAAGTAGGACTTGAAGGTAGGTCCTGTATCCCTGTGAACAGTATTATATCAATTTTGGTTCTTTACGTCAATGCAGCGGGGAAATTCATTTGGATGTAATTATTTTCAAATACAGATTTTCACAAAATGTTCACAATATAATTCAGTTAAGCAGGATTATATATATTAGTGTAGATGTATTTATATATGAACATCCATCAGCCAATCAAATCTCTGCCCTCTCCAATGCTGGGATTTTGCTATGCAAACAAAAGGTGTATTCTGAGAAGCATCAGACACTGAATGTATATACTGACCATAAAATACAGGTAAATAGCATATTTTTTATGTATACATTGCATTAACGTTACATATATGTATTTGAATTAAAGTCACACTACTGAATATTACACAGTATTTATAGCACCATTTTGCTCAAATGGGTAGAAATATATTTATTATTTAAATCAATTCAGTCAATGTTAGAGTATACTACCTCTAACAATTGAAACAATATATACAATGAGCTATGGCATTGAATTAAATCAACTGGGCATTAAAGTTTTATTATTTTTTTTTATAGAAATTGTAGACATGCCTTAAAAATTATATGATATTGGGTTCTATTTCTCTTCTCTTTGATCAATTTCTGTTGTAGAATTTTTGTTTATGTACATTGGACATTATTTTTCCATATAAGTGACCGAAGAATTTATCTGTATATCAATTATGTATTTATTTTGTTTGTTTTTGTATATTTTGGTTCATTTGTTTTGTTTACAAATATTTTTTTATACATATTTATGGTATCTTACATTGTTTTGTTTAGACATATATGTTTATGAGTTGACAGAATATGATAAAATACTATTTTTCAGTAGATAAATTTCATTATTTTCAATCTATATTTTTAATATCATAAATGTTAGTTTAATCTTGCCAGTGCTATTGTGCTATTATTGTATTTAAGATATGTTTTATATTGAGGGTTATATCGTTAATCAAATGAACAAGGATATTCTACAATTTTATTAATGCAGAAATAACTAAGACTGGATGGAATACAAGACGCATACGATGTATTTTAAGTATTAGCTGGATTGGCTCAGTGTTTCCTTTCATTATATAAAAATCCCATACTTTTTGCTTATATTGTAACTTACATTAGGAGTTCAAGAGCTTTTATTGCTTATCTAAAAGCTTTCATTTGCAACATTTAGATTTTCATTTCAATGTCTATGGTTCTTGTAATCAAAGATAGACGTTCAAAAATTTGAACTGATATCCTGGCATAATTTGGTCTATATTACTGTAATTACAGAAACCATACAGGCCAGGTTCTAATATTAGCTGTATTTTGCCAAACAAAGTTTAGGAAACCTCTTTAGTCCCTGTATGGATGGAGTTGTCATGTGATATTTATGTCAGTTTTGCACTAAGACTTGCCTTGTTTTGATTAGAATTGGCATTTGTTTATGGTGTTAAGATGGTTAAATTTTTGTTATGAGTTTATTAATTGGTAAAGGAATTATTGTGTTATCAAAAATTAATTATAAAACAAAAAGTTTCAAATTTGTATCATATCATTAATGTTTAAAAGAGAATTGTGTATTTTGTAGATCTGATGTTTATAGTTATTTCATAAAAAAAAAATTGAATCAAATAGACATTTCTTTTTAATTTAAGATGAATGCACTTAAGCCTCTCTCAAGCATTTCCATACTGTTTCAACTCGGATGAGAACAACTGGTTCTTATTGTGCTTCTATATAACAATCTACAATGATGGACTGAATTTGAGTAAAAATTCATTGTCTTAAAGCAGGACAGAGGAAAGTCCTTTATTATTCCATTCCCTTTTCAGATGGATAAACCAATGTATATGAATGATTTTCAATATCAAAAGCAGAAGCTGATAAAAGACTAAAACTTTATTCATAATATACAGTGGAGATATCATAAAATTGTGGCTGTGATGAATCCACACATTTATGATTTATATGTTTAATAAATTTGAGAGTATTTTTATCTCTATAAACTAGAGCTAGACAATTGTCTTCAGGAGTAACACTTAATAACTGAAATAAAATACAATGTTCGGTCATTACAGCTTTTTTGTAATATAATGGTATCAACATACAAAACATTTGCGAAATCACACTGCTTCTTTAACAGAAATACAAAACAATTGACAAAAAACAAAGAGAAAGTATTTATATTTCTGATTGTCACTTCCTTATTTTAATATAATAAAAAAAATCTCAGATATACTTACTTCATCATCTTCATCTTTAGCTATATAAGTTGTAAATCCTCCATATTCAGTCTTCCAATCTAAACATTGAATACAGATGAATTTTTAATAATCAAAGTTAACATTAAAATGGTTTTGATGGTGCTCAATTGGTTAGTTCTGAACAGATTCCGCCTGTACCAATTCAGGCAAGTTACAATCAAAATTTTCCGATCTAAATCTTCTCTGCCATTTTGAAGTCCTTTTTTCGGCACAGGTGGAAAGCATTCCAACTTGTTTTATTGAATGTGCAGAACACACCATCTAGAGCCCCTGATATGTATAACTCAAAAGTCTTCAAATTCATACAAGGTTGTGTTCTTCTAAAGATATTATATAACGTCTGATGAAGTGTTGTCAGTCAAGCTGCCAATTAGTGTTTTCATGACATGACCTTAGACATAAATAAATATCTATGACTCCTTCATATGCCCTTGTGAATTAACTAATGGTTCAATTTTACCTGAGCAGTCCATAAAGAAAACAGCATCCAATGAAAAGTCAGTATTTTGATCATGTGATTTATCATAAGCTAATGTGTAACAACCATGGCTCCATTTTCTAACTTCACTGTAACACTTTGAATTAACACTTCCTGATATAACTGAAAATAAAATAAGTTGGTATTTTAAATCCTACATTTAAGCACTTTATAGGAGTTGGTAAAGGCGGGCAACATGACAGATATTCCAAGATTATTCCTGTTTTTGTTGTAGGGCTGTTGTGGAACATCACACATATTTTTGACATACCGGTAGGTACTATCGGCATACAAATCTTGCCCAATATGATTCAGTTTTTAATCAACAGGATTTTTGACTCCTAGGTGATCTTTAATGAGGGGTTTTGTAGCACAGTTAGAGTGTTTGAAATGTTACATGATGTGATTTGCAAGGTTCCGACAATCAAATAGGTTCTAATCTTGGTTGATGTGTGAAAGTCTGGTAAACTCTTTGCAAGCAATTCTTTTTATGTCAGAATTAAAATTGTGGATGATTTTATAATTTGAGACCTCATCTATTAAATATTATCCATTCATATGAATACCTCTTTCTTTCTTGTCACCACTTCCATCATGAGGGATTCTTGAACTTTGACCTTCTTTACTTTCATTATCTTTTTTCTTTGTGTCCTTTTCTTCATCATCCGATTCTGGTGCTAATTCATGTAGTTTAAGTCCAGTTATATTGGATAAAACTAAAAACATAGCATCAGACTGTAGAAATTTCACACACTCTTTAATTATAGCAGGCTGATTTTCAGAATTACACACATAATATTTTCTATAAAAGAAAAATATATTTCATATAAAGTTATGATTCCACAATTTGACCACAGTTTCAGAATGATATAAGGTGACCTTCTAGGCTACATCTGTTATATTCCACTTAAAACTTCAGAAAAAAAAATTACACAATAAAAGACATACTGAATGATCATCCATATATAATACCCTTCAATCTTAATTCGCATAAATGTAAAAATACGAACTTGTATTGTACCCAGTCATTTCTTACCTTTTGTTAGCGGGACCATGATGTGACCAATGAATATCGCTTTCTTTCAAAGCTTTCTTCAATTCATTATATTTGTCTTTCTACAATATAATAGTATGTTTTACTAAACACACAGTCTATAATACATTATAATCAATTAATCTTAAATTTATGACAACATTTTAGATATTTCAGATATGCCTTTCATATCATTGTGTAAACTTTATAGGAGCTCCCCTCAAATGTAAGAAAGAAGACAGAATTTCTGAGGCTGAATATTGTGATGTTCTTTACAAATGAACAACCATATATACCCTAGTAAGGTCTGTTAAATGATCAGACAATATAAATTTGAATTAACTAAGCCAAATGCAAGTCTGTACCTTTATGAAATCTGTTAATTGTATTTCTGATTCAGATTCAAATTTCTCACTGATCTCACCCTGTACGTCAGGGACTAAATAGACTGGATTAATCCAGGAATAAAATTCATCTTCCTACAAAAGCAAAACATCCAAACATGTTTCAGTTAAGCTAAGAGTTATATAGAAAATAAGTAGAAAATGAGATTGTTCATTAATGTATTCAAGCACAGATGGCACATAAAAAATTATCAAGAAAGAAAATAACAAATTATCATTTTCTACTATAAACACGAATAACAATGTAGGTTCACAATGATCCTTGGCCAAACCTTTTATCATTGATCTTTCCTGGATTATCTGTACCCAATTACAAATGGGTTGAATGAATGAATGAATGAATGAACGAATGAATGAGAAAAGATGACTTATTAAGAAAAAGCATCAAAATTTCAAATTGATCAGAAGATATAGTAGCTCAGCAGAAGAGTATGAAGGTATTACTTACATCAACTGTGATATAGGGTGTCAGTTGGGGTGAATGTTCTTTATGGGGTGATTGTCGTGGTAACGGTGGTCCATGAAACCATCCACTAATTGATAATCTTGTTTTTTCTAATGATAATATTTCTGCTACCTATAAAATAAACAAAATATGAAAAGAAAGTAACATCTTAACCAGTTTTTGTCAAGTTGACTTGTAGGCCTATATTACACCATATTTACTTGAAATCTACTATCCACCGAACATAGATGTGTCAAGATAAGGCCTAGAATGTCTCTAGATAACCTACCGTTTTGAACCTTATTGGGCAAATGACATGCTTTATGACTTGGATTTTAACTCTTTTACAAAAACATAGAAAATATAAAGGTACAAACCTGATGAAATGATGTCTCTGTGACTTCAAAAAATAAAAAGTTATTGCGTTTGGGTAAAATTGATTTGACAATTTCTTTCGGTTGTATATGATCTAGAAAAAATATTTTGAATTGTAAATTTTACTGGCTATTATAGTAATACACATTAACTAACTATATAAAAAAATTACTAAAAATTGAAAAGGTGTAAATCAAAGCTATTAGTGTATATAATAGACAGTCTTACTAAACTTACGATCAGCAGAAAAGAGGTCTAAATGTCCACCATCTTCTTCACTCCAAGTTGAGGGTACGACATAATAAATATAAGCAAATCTTCTTTTTTCTAGTTCATCATCATGACATAATAATATATCTATCAAAAAAATAATAAACTTTCAACAAAACCATCTTTCTGGCAATCAGTTTATGACAAAGTTATTCATATATATCATATATACTTCATTACATTTTACACTTGTTCAAAATTTCACTATTAAAAATGGCATCTTGGTCAAGGTATGAACAATATTGAGAATTTGATTTAACTGAATAAATGTTCTAAATTCTTAGAAAATGGAACCTACCCACCTGTGTATTCATATTTTGAAGCAAATACATCAATTTCTTCAGTTAATTCTATATCACTTATTTTACACAACCATTCTTTAACATCAGTTTCTAATAACTTACTAAAATTATAATACAATTATATTATATATTACTTCGAATTTTACATATATAAATATCTAAATGTTTATTAAAAATATTTCTTTAAAGCATACGTTACAAAAATTGAAAAGTTTAAAACAAATTGAAATTAAAAAAACTTAAATTTTTTAAAGTCATAATCAACATCACAAATACACTTTTGTTCAAATTTCATGAAAACTCTTACCAAAATGCACTGATATGAGGTGAAGAGCTATGTTTTAAATCATCACTCTGCAAAATAAATAGTATAATGGATTATTCATTGCCTCGGAAATGCATTTATAATTGAAAATTTGGATCATAAAAATGAACGGTTGTCAAGTTAAGATATCAGAGGAGAGAATTAAAACTACGCAAGCCAAGGATATATGGTGTTCATTACCACATGATATTAATGTTTAATGGAAATGCACAAATAATAAAATATGTCTATTGAATACATATAAGGTCATCAATGTTCGACCAAAATATATAATCCAATCAAACATTTTCCTATTGGTGAATAACCTAATGAAGATCAACACAATGTAGAATGGAGACTTACCTGATGAAATTTATACAAATCATTATTTTTCTCCTTAAAATCAAGCTCACTCAGCTCTTTTTCTAGATTTTCTACAAAATCTTCTTCTTTAATGAAATCAGTTAAAATTGTATGAAAAAATGGATGAACATTTATTTCACCTTGTTCGTGTTTCTCTGAAAAAGAAATGGCATAAAACAAGGTTTCATAAAAGAAAATCAATTCAAAAGCATTAACTTAGCAAACTACATACAGCCTTAGACAATTTATTGTATACTATATCTTATTTATTGTCAGTGTCAGTGGTCAGTAATGTTGTGAGTTGAGTTGTCACATTCAACATTTCAAGCAATTAGTGACACTGTGGTCAGTGAACACTAGATTTTTCTCTGTAGAAATGGTAATAAAATCAATAACGACTGGAGCTACGTGTTTTAACAGCAAGAATGTAGATCTATCTAACATTCTTTTAAACTATTTACCACATATTGAATGCTTCTTTGTAGAAAAACATTTCTTCACTTGATGAGAAAATTCATCAGCAAAGTAGTACTTGTTCAATTCAACGAGTGGGGCGCTTTTCTTTTTCTTAGTAACAGGTTCATCACTTGTCATGTTGTCTGCAGACTCAAACAGTTAAATATTCTTTTCACAACCTTATAAACTTTATTTTCGAAATTTCAAATTTCACGTGTGTTTGTTTACGGAAGTTAGAGACCAGTCGATGTATGTCGTAAATACTCAATTGACATTTTCTTTAAAATGATTAGGTTACGGTTTTAACTTAAAAAATATATTTTCTATTAAAAGAGAAATTTCTAAATGAGTTGCCATGCGTTACAAATTTCAATACATCTTTTTCAAAGGAGAAGCCAAAACTTTTGCGACATCAAACCTATTTATGATATTCGCATGGCCGTCGAAATTAAATTTTCTTTCAATATTTTAGATAAACGTTATTTTATGTAATAAACTATAAATATTCTTAGACTATAAGATGGTGCGTATTGGCTTAACATGTTTTTGATATAATCAAAGGCTATAATCAATATTTGAAGTTCCTATTTTTCAATATTCTCTGTTTCATTATCTACTACGGTGAAAAATCGAAAGTAGAGCCTCTTTTCACAGCCGACTGAGTGCATTAACAACAACATACTTTGAAATACGCGCAGTAAACAATTGATCTTTATTATGATGAAGTTATGATGAATTTTATTTCACTCTTCAAATCCTAATAGAAGGAAACTTGAGCAATGTTTGAGGAATAAGTGTAACCTATCGGAAAAAGGCTATCGTTACAGTAGTCTATGTCATTATATGACAGATTTGTGTATTCTGTCAACTATAGAAAAATTGATTTCAGGGCTGTAGCTGTGAGCATAAGTACTTATAATCTAATTTGAAATTTTAATGGTAATAATTTCTGTTTTCAGTTACCTCTTTCTCTGTTACGAACAGCTGTCAATCATCCCATGGTTAGTATAATTATAAGCTTACCCTTCTATTTTCTAAAGGACACTGGTCTGAAGTGAAATTTTAGAATGTTAGAAATGATTTCTACCCATTTCTATATACGTTAACATGTTATTCAATGTTTTCAATAAGAAACATGAATTTGATATGAATTGATGGCAAAATATGAAAATTATAAAAAATATGATTATTTATGAAAAGAGAAATTGTATTTTATTTGATATATTTGTAGTTAGTTGAGTTGAAGAATGGTGAAACATATAACGGCCATCTTGTAAGTTGTGATAACTGGATGAATATCAATCTAAGAGAAGTTATTTGTACGTCTAGAGTAAGTTTAAATTAAATTTATCAAAACATAATATAAGAGAAGTCATGATTACAAAATTATACTAGATTTTGTAACATGATTTAGATTAAGTACAAACTACTAACTGGTGTTATTTTTCTTTCACTGTATTCAGGTGCAGGAAAGGATGTGTTTTCTTATTCTTAATTAAGGACCCCCGATATCAACCAAAATTCTTTTCCTTTATTTGAAGACCAAAGTTCAAAATAGAAAATTGTGACAAACTTGTTGTAGGATGGTGACCGATTTTGGAGGATGCCTGAATGTTATGTCAGAGGAAGTACAATTAAATATCTTCGAATTCCTGATGAAGTTATAGATATGGTCAAAGAAGATGTGATGCAGAAATCTAAAGGGCGTGGTGAGGTCAGGGGCCGAGGAGGTCGAGGTGGCAGAGGAAGAGGTAAGGAAAACAAAAGGATGAAAATTGTTGAAATCAGAATGTAATGAAACTTGCTAGGTTTATTGCTTCTATACCCATAGATCATTCTTTATGTATCGGACACTGTAATTTGTGTACATGTATTTACTATTTTTAGGAGCCTTTTCCTCAGGTAGAGGTGGTGGTGGTGGAAGAGGGGGAGGAGGAGGAGGAGGAGGAGGAGATAGAGGTCAAGGTGGAGGTCGTGGAGGTCAAAAACCAGGAAGAGGCAGAAATCAATAATTTGTCAGCCTTAGTGTGGGAGAAAGTAATAGAACCATCAAGATATTGCCTAGAAAAGAGTTCTCAGGAAGTTAAATCATTGTATATTTAGGAAAAGCTCCAGAAAATTCTTACATCAGTTGAACTTGCATTGACCTGTTTGAAAGAGAGCTCTATATTATTTTTCTATGGTGGTTTCTCATCACCAATTGATATCATTTTGCCATGAAGTTTTTTTTTATTTTTCTTGCATTTCTGTCACTTCATTTGTATATTCATTGTTTTGTATCCACTATGAAGCTGTGAGCTTATAAAACATAAATTGGGCTCGTTAAATAGAGAAGTAAACCCAAATTTTATTTGTTTTTCTTTTTATGTATTAGTTTGTTTGTTATGATAGTAAAGTGTTCATTATAATTTTTGTAACACAGTCTAATGGACATCATGTTTTTTGAAGTAAGCAGTACTTGCAGTTGTTGTAAATGTCTTAAGCCAGTGTTCAGAATAAATGCACCATTAATTTCATACTATATCTTATTCCTTCAGAGACAAGCATTAGCTGCCTTTGTAAGTGGTTATGTCAACTCTATACACCTTTCTCAGCAGTTGCACAGTGTTATTTGCCAATCAGAGTGCTGATAAACAAATATCACTTCACTTTGTGGATTGGAAGAGATGCCTGAGCACATCAGATATTCTGGCATGTTCTGCCCAGCTGCAATTTAGCTACTGAATAGAAAACTATGTCAGAAATGCTATGCCATAGCCATACAAATTGTAAATTCAAGTTAACTTTAATTGGGCTAATAATTAGCTGATGAAATCTATATCCACAACACAAGTGGAGTTGACAGTACAAATATCCAAAGCCCAATCTTTATAAAGTTATTTTAATCAAACATTTGGTTTATATACAACATACATTTAAATTGGTACAGAAATTAACAAATGAACTAATATATTAAAAGGAATAATTTGTATCTATGATTAAATAATATGACTATAAATAATGATATTAATTACTGGAACTAATCACTTTCAAATACTGTTTCTTTCAATAACTATATATAATAATAGGGCTCTATTTCACAATGAAAGAGGATTGTTAAGAGGTTTTCTAAATTTTGTATGTGTATGATATTATCATTTTTCACCATTCTAATTTTTAAACAGACATCTGTGGTTCCTGCAATTGCACAAAATAATGTCACTTCATGCAAAATATGCTTGTATCACATAAGACAGATTGCGATTAGTGACGTCATAAATAAATTGAGAAAACCTCTTTACAATCCCTTTAAACCTACTTTAATGTTAAAATCTTAATCCATAGAAATAAGATAAGGGTTTTTTGTGAAATCGTGTCTGGTTATGAACATGTCTTTACCACTCAAAAAGCTATTATAAATATCAGACACACATATAGATCATATTGAAAATGGTAAATGGGAATAATAGCTTAAAGGACGCATAATCCCTAATTGCAAATAATAATTTCTTTTCAAATAAGCATACTGGCTATTGAAATATTGAGTTACATATAACATTCAATGAGTATTCTTTTAATCTTTCTGTAACACAAGAAACTATAGTACATAATGGCTGCAACTGACTTTGGTGGAAAAAGTTGTCAATATTTGAGCTTTACCAGCTGATGAAATGAAATGAATGGAGTTTTCTGTGCCTAATGAAGACCAAAAGTCCCAGAGCCCTTTCAGCTATAAATATTCAATATAAAGACAACCACACCCTTTTCACTGATTAAATTCTAGTTGCTATATCATTGTAAGGAATGTACCCTTTAAAACCCAATCTATCTACAGTTCATTACCATTACATTACTTAAATACACTGAGAAAAATAGAAATAGACAGTTTTAAAAATATATTTCTTCTCTTTAGGTCACAACCATATAATAATCTGATATGGATTCAATGCTTTCATACATACTTGATGTGTTTTAACAGTATCAATAAAGTTACATTGTTACACAGTAACTATAGTTTTGACTTATATGATGAAAGCATAAAGACCATATCTAGTCACAGATTTCAGAGTATAGGACCATGGTCCTCAAACTTTAATTGTTGTTGAACAGAACCTACACCTTTTAATATTTCTTAAATTGAATCAAATTAAATTTTAAAATGGATACAAAATTCTCTTTACAATAGAAAAAATGCCATTTATACATCATAATATTTGTTTGGTACCTTAAAGTAGAAATTAACTTTTGTCTTTAACTTTCAATTAACTAAAGATAATTTTTATGATGTTACCAACCATGAACTATTTTTAGACATGTAAATGAATCCATTAGATACAAAAATACTGCCTATAATTAACATAATTCATTAAATGAAGGAATTATTTTAGGTGGGAAAGCAAAGCTTTTTATTGGTAAAAAATAAAACAAAAATATTTACATTTGCTGAAAAGGAAGGTTTTGTTATATTACATATTTCTACAAAAAAAAAAAAATAAAATACAACTAAAAACAACATATACAAAAGTTTGTCATATTAACAATTAAAAAAGGGAGACTATTTACAAAGAAAAACAGATTAACAACTAAAACATTACAATTACAAACAACTCATACAATTAACAAAACGTCTTCCATGTCTCTATTTGTTTGTCCAATGGTGTGTAAATGTTTTTTTTTGATAATTTATCTTAAGCACTGGATCAGGTGATTTGATTATAACTGACAGCCATGTTTGATGATGTCGAAAATGTAAAGCTTACTTACAGCTCAAGTTATACAGTCAAAATGTACAATAATTATATGTCTTCATTTGAAAGGCAAGCTAAAAGCATTATGTCAACTACAATAATCAGTCAACAATGACATTGTTTTGCAGAAATGTCAGGCTGTTATTGTGGCCTTAAGGACAGATCCAGTCAATAGAAAATATCATCGATGGAAAGCCTTGGACAGCAAGAGCAAGACTGCAGTTTTAATTTCACAAACATGATTCTCCCTTACTCTTATATTAAATATATAATTGCACCATTTATGTATTCTAAATTTTATTGGTTACTAAGGGTCTATACTTGGCACATTTTGCTGGATCTAACCAATCAGAACAACCCTTTCCTCTGCTGCCATTTTAAAGGGAGATAAGTATCATAATCCTAAATGTTTGTAGTCCAGATCTATCAGCTGAAAACACCTGATTCTAAGCGTGCACTATCAACTACATCAAGAAGATTTTTAGAGTCCATGGCGAGAACATGAGCTGCTTTGAGCATGCCTTTACGATATTCCACATCCATTGTGGTTTTACTGTACTGCTGGGCAAGTTTCATGGTACTAATTAGAGTTGCCATATCTGTACTCAAAACCTTCTGGGCCATTTGTATCTGAAAATAGTAAAAGGATAAGAAATAATAATCTATATTTTAAGATTTGATCCAAAATATGCTTTATACTCTTATCCAAAAAATCACAAATCTCAAGGGTCATAATATACAGTTTGTTGACAGATTGTTGACAAGAAAGGCAACTCACTATGACAAAGCAAGTAAAACAACAATACACTCACCTCGCGATGTTTGTCACTAGGTAATTTAGTTAATACAGCATCAACATTAGCTAATAAACCACGCAGATCCAGTCCTACTTTCTGAAATTGAAAATAAATTATTATAGAGATAACATCATCTCACTGTTGACTATTACGATAAGAACTTTTCCTAACCTTACTTAACAAATGAATTACCAAATAAGCTGTTAGTGAAGCTTATGGACAAGGGGCCTGTTGTCAGAAAGTGAATAATACTTGTAAATTACATTACTAACTCCAGACTGGATAATATTGACTTTAATATGATTATAGTTAAGATCAACTAGTCAGTAAGGATGTTCAGGAATATTTTTGAAACAGGTCTATCTTCAGTATACAGAAGATATTAGTACAAATATAAAACACAAACCTTAACAAATTCCACATATTCTCCTGCTTTGCCAGTCTGTGCTTCCTTAGTCATAGTCATAACAGATCTGACAACACTAGTAGTACTATCATATACACCATCATTAGTACGGTCTATATCATTAGTAGATCTTGCTAGTTGGTTCAATTCATTACTTTCACTAGTAGTACTACTACTTCTACCTATAAGTCAGAGCAAACAATAATGAGGTTTAGGATAAAATATCAACTTAATAAAAATATTTCCACTATAAAGTGCTGAATACATCAACTGTAGAGCTATATAGATACCTTATTCAGAGAATCATGTTACATGTTTCAGGTTCTGTTTTAATATGTATCTATTAAGTGAATTTAAACAGTAAATACAGTTGAGAAAAATCTCATATTTATATTTGTTCTCATTCTCAAATAGTAATATTTTTGTGTCATCGATAATAACTAGTAAAATCCAAATATTTTGGCTATTGGCCCTTTTATTCATTAACAGCAAAGGAACCAGGCCTAGGATCTTCATTTTGAAAAGTGCCACAAATACCTGAAAATGATCTATTTTAAGCTGAGAAGGTAATATTTAAATGACTAATCTACTAAGAATATGACCTCAAAAGTTATTAACTAAAGTCATATGGTAAAGATATTAAAATGAGGTAGACTTACTAGATGATTGGCTGGCTATTCTAACAGGAGCATGACGAAATTGATATTGGGCTGATGGGGGTGGGGAATTTTCTTTGGTACTATCATTATCATCATCACCTTGAACCATGTGAGTAGCAAATTTCTCTCTTCTCTGTAATAAATAATATAACTGATCAGTACAATTACACATATTGTTACATTTTACCTTATTCCAACTGTTTTTCTTACATGCAGTGTAAAAAACCTAAACATAAAAAATAACTCAAACTTACAAGATTTTTCTCCTCTGATTGCAGCCATTTACTGTCCATTTCTGAATCTCTTTGTTGTTGACGTAATCTTTCTGCTATTAATTTTTCATCTATTTCTGTTATGTGACTATGAGGTCTGATATCCTAATCGAAACATTTAAATATGAATACATAAATATATACAATATACGCCAGACAAAATTCATGTTCATCCTATGTATCCGTTTCTTGTTGTGGAAAGCAAATACATATGAACCAAATTTATGCATGTCAGTGGTGCTAGGAGACATCTCTAGACAACTTTTTTTTTAATATTAATTATCCCTTACAGTATGTCTATTTCTTGTTCTTTGGTTTCCAAAATTGCTATAGATTCTAAGGGCCATCATGCACAGTTCCGGTCTCTTAACACATATCAGACAAGATTTAAACAAGAATACTTACTGGACTATGAGGTGGAAATGGTGAAGAAGCTATATTTTGAGGATCTCTAAGTTGGGGTGAATCACGATGAGATGGTGCTTGATAATGACCACTAGCTATGAGTTGTTGTGACTGACTATCATGATAAGGGTTGCTCATCCCAGATAATGAGAACCCAGATGGATTAGCTGTTACACGGGTATAACCGGTTGATGATGGGAAAAAACCATGAGATTGTTGTTGTTGTTGTTGATGATGTTGTTGTTGTTGGCGTAAAAGAGGGGAGTCAACTCTACCACCTCTCATTTTAATCTAAAATTAAGATCATAATACCTTGAAACCAAACACTTTAATGCATGGACCTAGTGTTCTGGTCCTTTTGGAGTTGGACTTGTGCTCGAATTCTTAGTAATTAATTTTAAAGTAGGTAGGACCAAGCTTTTTAATGTCAAAAATGCTTATATCTAGTCTCGAATTTAAAGTAATCAAATTTTGAAGCTGGTAGGACCGTGGATTGCTTTGGAAACACTCTAGCAACTTCGTATGAAAAATCTAAAAATATCTTCTCCTTACCTCATCAACATTAGGAGATGGTCCTGATGCTGGTGTACTGTGACCTAGAGGTGTACTAGCAGAGTTATTCCATTGATTAGGTATACTAGCTATACTAGAGTTTAAACTATTATTACCACTAGTACCATTAGGATAGATTGGTCTAGCTGGTTTAGGAGGGGGATCTTCATCAGACCCATTGGAACCTGTGATAATTACATACATTAACAATATTACTAAAAATATACAAGACGGACCCATTAAAGACTTCAATAGAAATTAAGAGCAATAGTAGTGCATGTTTCGACAATATAAGATAACTTCAAATTTTGGGTAATGGTCAAGGAAAATATTCATGTAGATAAAGGTTGCATTGTTGCATTACATATCTAGTCAGGCCAAATGGACAAAAACAATTTGCAAATTGGTACGTTTTTCAAACTCATGGGTTGATGAATCAAAACAAATATACATACCCCATGAAATTGCCTGAACTCTACGATTCCCACGATGCATTTCTTCTTCTTGACGTAATCTTTCTTCATCAACAATTTCACTAAGAAACAAAATAAAAAAAGTTTATCTAAGGCCTTGTCTATATCTGTTCATCATTCAAGTGTTTTTAGTTCGAACCTTTCTGTCTGATTTTACTACGTTCTGCTCATGAAGAAGGTCACATCAATGACGTCTGAAAATGACAGACTTTTAAGTAACAAGGAATCTTTCAATTCATTCATCTCATTTAAACCTTGATGCAAACCAAAAAGATTTTCACAATAATAGTACTATTAAAATAAAATACTTACTATAGCCACGTTTTGAGATCAGCAAAAGAAGGTCGTTTGGAAGGTTCATATTGCCAACAAGCACACATTAAATTATACAAAGATGGTGGACAATCTATTGGTAGAGGTAATCTTTCTCCATTTTCTATTTTACCAATAACATCATTATTTTTAACACCTTGGAATGGTTTTACTCCATACATTAATATTTCCCAGATACAAACACCTGTAAATAATTTGTATATTTCAAATACAAGCTATATACATATATACAAAAAATATACATTAGAGATGCAGATATACACAAATATATAATTTGTTAGGCTCAATCTTGCATGAGATGCCATTGATCCTCTAATTTTGAGCTTACATCAGTAAGAAAAACTTACCAAACATCCATACATCACTAGCAGCAGTAAATCTTCGAAAGTTGATAGATTCTGGAGCCATCCATTTAATTGGTAGTTTACCCTTGGAAGCTGAAAATGTAATAAGAATGTTATGTCACAAGGGTCAGAGCTGAGCAATTACTGCAGAAGTCAGTATTCCTTTCTATTTGCTATGTTATGTCGAACCAATGGTGGTTGTGGGTTTTATTCTCGGACGGTATGTGAAAGACTGTTGACTTATTATTATTATGTCATCTTTCCTCATTAATGCAGGCGATCCGGTTGTAAATGGGTATGGATAATCCAGGAAAGATCAATACAAAGCAATACTGCTGGTAGAATCTAAGTTGTTATACTTGTAACATATGGGTATTTGGTTGCACAAGGGAAACAATCCTACTCAATTTACAATCAAAGACAGTCTGATCAATGGTAATGGTTTATCAACTCTTTCCATCAAAATGATCTTCAGATTGAATGGTTTACCTTTATAATAGCACTGTTCTTCTACCCATCTTGAAAGACCGAAATCGCCTAACTTGACACAATCATGAGCTGATACTAGAACATTTCTAGCAGCAATATCTCTATAAACATACAAAATATTTCAATAATCATTAGACATAAATAGAAAACATTTTTGTCCTAAAAATACGACAGTTGCTTCCTATTGGTTGATATGAATAATAAATTTCTTTAAAAAAATCACAATACTGACCTGTGTACAAATTTTTTACTTTCTAAATATGATAAGGCTGTACTGAGTTGATAAGCATACATTATCAATGTTACTAAATCTAATCTGGGTTTGTTAGACTGTAGATAGGCTCTCATCTACAAAACAATACAACATTGATATAAATTTTTGGGGATTTATGAAGCACTGTTCAGTCTAGCATAAAGTTTTAAGTTGTTCTATTCAGTCAGGCTATGTTCTCCGACATGAAAAAGATAGCAAGGAAAACCACAAAATAGTGAGGAAAGGGGGGTAATGCAATCGTTCAAGGACGCTATAAGTAGCGATAACAAGTAAAATGTTGAAAAGCCACAAGAGCAAGTAAAACTATAGACACAGTTTCCACAGCCTACAGTGAAATATAACATTTTACCTCTCCATGTCGAGCAAGTTCCATAACTATCCATACTGGTCTAACTTCAGAACAAATACCAATTAATTTAACTATATGAGGATGATCAAATTGTTGCATTATATCTATAAAATTAGAAGAACATGTAATAAATAAAACATTTCATATTTTGTACAACTGTTAAATACATATCAATATCCTTATATCAATGTCAATTAAATATTTCATACTTGAAAATTCACATGGTTATTTTGTAAGAAAATGAAATAGAGTTTTACATCTGATGATGTCATAAGGAACTTACAAGCTTCTTCAAGAAATTTTTCTGTCATGGATTCCTCATTATCTTCTTTACATGTTTTTACTGCCACTGGTACTTGCTGTTTCTCCTAAAAAATAATTCTTCTGATCTTAATGGACAAGCACAAATCTATTCTTGAAGAAGCAATCTTATTTCATTATACATATTGCCGTTAATGAGTACGATAATTTAGCTTCTTAGCCATCTGTCACTATATATATTGCGCACAATGTCTTCACCAAAAAAAGTTGGCATAATGGAGACACAATAATAGTACCTCAGGCCTACATGTTCTTCAATGTATGCTTCTTTTTTTGTACTTTTGGTTTTTCAATGACTTACCTTGTCCACAAAGATTCCTTTATAAACATCTCCGAACTGTCCTTCTCCTAAAATTTCCACTAATCTAATGGCATCACGGATAATCTCATAATCTTTTGCTACAATAGAAAAATATGCCATTCAAAATCAGGGTTTCTCAAATAAATAAGCTACAGTGCCACTTTCATTGTTTGGAATTGTGCCACGGACCTTAACATATTTTGGTATATACAAATTGATTTTGGGTTTTGTTTTATGAAATACCTTATAGTAATTACAGTAATTATCTTAAATTTCAACAACTCCTAGTTCGAGGGTGTAAAACTAAGTTTGATACTCATGAGTTAGTACTGTGCTACGTTGTGGCTATTTTTGTCAATAAATATAATAAATAATTCTATTCTACACAGTAGCCCTTACACCAGAGTGATTACCAGTTGTGTATGGTTGCAAATAAGAATAGGAGTCATAAGTTACGAATGCAACAGAGTTGTGAGTTGCATTTGGAACTGATTGCCACTTTCATTATTTGTAACCATACACATCTGGTAATCACTCTGGTGTGAGGTCACCTTTGGTTATCCACAATCTATTTGTGTTTTCCAAAAATCATTTTTTAGGCGGATGTTAATATACAGAAGTTTTTTAGCCATGCTTTTTGATCAGTTTCTTGCAATGCACACAGTGCTCAAAAGTTTAATAGCATCATTAGAGACCACTTAAATATTTAGACACAAGGTAAAGAGCTATTTAATTGGTTGAAATCTACTTCTGCTCACTTTCTTGGTAAAAGTCACATCCTGAAGTTTGCAGTGTTTCATAGTCATGGAATATCTTAATAATGGGCATGATATTCTCTCTTCAAAACAATTCTACTGAATAAGTCATTCAACTACTGTAGAGTATAGTAACATTCTGTAGCATTCAAAGCAATTCTTTGTGAATTGAAGTATATATATATATGCACCAAATAGAAATATCATGCTGTGTTCTGTGTAATTTATTCACTAGTCAATGATTTTCGTCCAACCAACTGCCAAAATATAACAATTCTCATGTTCAAAGCAAAATTTTTCTAAAATTTATCAACTCTATGACAGACTCTGATTTATAACATTTTTTAAATATACATGTGTGGACACTCTAAAACCAGTCTTAATCATTTAAAAAATTCTACAAAATGCAAGCATTAAATAGGCTTTTCAGATTTGTTCAGAATTACAAAGAACACCAGCAACATTTCTTAATATCATTCATAGAACATCAATCTAAACTTTCTTTGTCAACCAAATTCAGTTTAACTTTCATAATGAAGAGTGAGCTATAAAATAAAGTTTGATGATCTGTGTATGAAAAGATTTGAAACTACCTTGCTGAAATTAATCTTATAATAATTTAGTATGAATATCAATTGTTAATATACAGATTAATGATTGGTAGGTAGGCAGAGGTCATAGATAAGAGGTCAAAGAGCATGCGATTATGAGGTCAGTTCAATTCAAGCAGTCAGTGGTCAAGTTTTTGTTTACATGCTATTTCATTCCTAGTAGACTTACATTTCCTTTTCTTCTTTAATGTGTTAGATTTTCCTGTATTTGATAATATGTTTCATTATTTAAAACCTTTTCTAATTATCCAACTTTTGGTGAGTAGATCATGGGAAGAATCAATTACGTTGCAAGTATAAATTTCAATAGTTTTAATTCTCATGCTTACCAAGAAACACGAGCAATCTGACACATCACAAGTAAATATGTGATTCCTTATGAAAGATCTTGAAAATCAGTCTTTATGAAGGAGATAACATAGTTATTACCACATCAACAAGGGAATAATTTCAATGAAATTGCACAGTGGACTGACAGACAAAATGGCAATGATAAAAACCTCATGACATGACAAAAACCTAATGTCAATATAACCTTAACCTTCAACCGTCAATATCTATAATACCTCCAATCCCAGGGGAGTAGGGATAAATTAATAATAATCATAACAACCCAAGGATAATATCACCAACAGTAATAATACAATATTATTATCAGTCATGTTGTATTTGTTATAAAATTGATTATTAATTAATTTAATTATCTGATTTTACATTATGATTTACAAACGTCTAAATTTCTATCAGATTTGTATCATTATAATTAGATGAAAACTATGAAAATCATGTTATTTTTTAGACATTTAATCATTTTTTTAATTGATCTTTTTAAAATCTTTAATATATATTTTTCAAAAATTTGCTATAAAAAAAATTGGTTTAGGTAAACAAAACTAAAATTTGTCTGCAATGGTAAAAAAACTAAAAATAACAAAAAACTGATAAATTTTAAAATGAAATATCCTGGAAATTAAAATTAAATAGTACATAAAATCGGTACCCATTATAAAGTCTGGTCCTACCGCAATACCTCCAACCTCCTCCTCATACACTCTCTCTTTGTCTAAAAATCATTAACAACATTGATTTTTGTAATCTTTTTAAATTTTCAAACATTTGCTTAATGCTTTTATAATAGGTATCCATGGCAACCCTTATTTAAGTTTCTTGCATAATGAAGTGAATCATGTACTCTTTATTTGGGTCTTTATTTGGGATTTCTTCTGTATAATTTAATTCAGAATTAGCCTACTGTTTACTTTATTACTTACCATATATATTATGTTATCAAAAATATGAAAATAAATGGAAGGTTTCATTATATTATTTATTTTAAATAACTCAAGAACATTTTTTTTTTAAATCTAATGCCCAAATTAAAATATTAAATGCAATGGCAATTTTTTTATGTCCTATCTTCCAGCTGAGATAAAACTAATGAAAACTTAGCATACAAATTTTATAACAAAACCTTTTTTTTTATTAATAATTAGAACATACTTTTCCATGAAAATAAAATGGAAATGATAGATAGGGTGATAGTTATCCCGTCCAGGATAGGTTTTAACTTTATCGACCCATACATTTGAATAGACCTATCAATAAAGTATCAAGTCAAAGATATGCATGATTTACTATTTACATCGAAATATTATTGTTTAACTTTCTGCCCCAATCAATGCTACTACAGAATTTTTGAAGACTATCTGAAGAACTCTTCAATACAAGAAAAGTATAAAAGCTATATAAAGACAATATGTTATGGATAATGGAAGATGTTTCGCAGTGTTAAGATCATTGATTAATCATTATGATGAGTTTCTAAGATATGTTCACTGTATTGTATTTTACTATTAGTCATCTTATCCCTAGCAATTATTATCTAACAACATCAATTAGCTGTTTTTACATGTCTGAATCATCCCTACACAGATTTTAGTTTTAGTTTTTAGAAATATCTATTGAAATATCATACCAACTAATCTAAATTATTATTAATCTTTCTATTGGTTAGAATTATCTTAATTGAATGTAATTATAATCCAACTCAAGATATCTTGTTTCCTTTATTTTCTATGTGTTTATTCACTAATTCTTTTTATATTTTTTAATCGGATTAATTCATCTTCCAAATTATTTAAATCATTTTCTTTAATATTTCTATTTGCTTAGGAAAATTTCGTATGTGTTGATTTTAGTACGGTAGGTATCCTTTATAATTCGTACTTATAACCCCAACCTCCCCTCCCCCCCTTTCCATTCAACCCCAATTTAAAAGAAAAAGTGAGTATTCTTACCGTCAGGTGTGCTATAATCACCCTCATCTTCAACAATTTCTGCATAATCCGAAATTCCTGATAAAAATTGATTAATGAGTGAAAATCATGCAATAAATGTCAGAAAAACAATAAAATTCTTCATATGATGCTCTTTAATGCTTAAAAAGACACAATATCTAAATAATGATATTTGCATATAAAATTAATTACATGAAGATATGAATTCATTAAAATGGATAGAAACTTGAATTTAATGCATGAAAATTACAAAATTTCTAGTAAGGACTGGGTAGAAATTTGAAAGCCATGACAAAATGTCAAAAATCATGCAAAACAATTGCCATCAGTAGAAAATTAATTTTTCTATCCACTAATTTACTGATCTGATGTACACTTGTAAATCATTTAAGTTTCAATTTAACAAATGGACATTGTTGATGCATGTAGCTTAGGAAAAGTAGTATTTCTTCTCAAATTTTAAAGTTATAGAGTAAAACAATTTTTGAATTTTCAAATCATATACTGGCAATTGTTTAGAGCACTTCAATCAAAAGATAAACATTATATATAAGTAATAACTATTAAATATTTATAAACAATATTGTTATAAAGTATATAGTAACTCACGTTCATTGGGACTTTGAGGTTCTTCTGATTTCTCTATGGCATATTTTTGTAAACTGAAAGTATAAAATAAGTTGACATAAACAAACATTATACTATAGCAAAGTGCTCTACCACTCAAAATATATTTTAAACAACAGTCAAAAAAAAATCAGCAGAAAATATTTCTTACCCGTGAAATTAAATATCCCCCCTTCCCTCCCCCTCACAACTCTCTATTCAAGTGAGTACGAGATGAGTAACTCATAATACATAATTATACAACACATAACTATATTACACCAAACTATTCCTTTAACATATCAAATACAAATATCAAATACAAACCAATTTAGAAAACATGAATCTTTCATATTACAGCCATTGATAAAATTCCAGTTTAAATAACTAACATATTTATAGTAGGTTTAAGGCTATATAATATAGGTAAATGTCCTTTGGTCAATTTTCATTTGATCAACTTAAAGAGACACAGTCATACTTGAAAATAACTTGTGTTCAACAATTCACTTAAAGAGAAACAGCTATTTAAATATCAGTTTAACCATTTAAATATCTAATCAAACAAACTTTAAAGCCGTTCCTCTGAAAAAAATTTGATTTTGATTTTCACTTTTATACTTTAAAGTAATTTCTAATCACATTTTCTTTTTCAAAATCATAAGACTTAGCTACTTTAAATTACACCCTAACTTTCCTTATCAATCTTGTTGAATACCACACAGGAAAAATATCAACCCAAAATTCAGTCATGGAGTCATAAATTTTAGTGACTCACTCATACTTGGGTAATCATCACACCCCCTATGATTTATTTTATAAAATAAAAGTAACATGGCAGATCTAGAATACAATTGACAATAATAAAATATGATCACTTATAGACCTAACCCTGATTCCTCCTTTCACTTCTGTTTGTCAACTTTGTATGTCTGTCCAAGAGTTCACATAGGTAATGTCAAATTGGTTTATTAGCTGCACTATGTATTGAACCATGTGTTGTCCCTTTAAGCAATAACTTGACTTGGCAAATTATCAATCAGTAGAAATCAACCAAGCAAAAATTAATCCTCTTTAATTATTTCACTAATTAGTCAGTGACATGTCATAGTGACGTTTGAATGTCATCATTAAATCAATGATTACAAATGGGAAGGAATCTAAATTCACTGTCGGTGTCCAATTAGACCAATGACATGAAAATCTAATTTGCTTTTATCCCATAAAGTTCAAAATCAGTACAGTTCACATTCTGTAATTCTTCAAATTGAACAGTTATCATGACACCTGGTACCACTATCTTGCATATTTTCTACCAATTCTATTTATAACTTTGAAGATTGCTTTCTGCAACTAAACTTGATTTCGAGCAACATTCAATGGTTATTTTTTTATAATGTATTCATTTGTGGATAATTCCCTTCTAAATATTCCAGCACTGGCCAAAAGCTTACCATAAAGCTAGCTGAGGTGAGCTATTGTCTGGGCACATTCCTTGGTAAATCAAGATTATGGTTTGTTTCTAGGAGAAATAGAATATCAACCTCAAACTAGTAATATTAATCTTAGAATATTTTTGTCTAGAATAAATAAACATGAGCACATATTATCTCTTGAAATTTGTTTTCACAGAAAACAAATTTCAGCCAAAATTTTTTGGTTCAAATTTTTAAGAGCAAAGTGTTTATGTTCAATGAAATTTACAAAACTTTATATCTTTATCATTGCAAAGTCATTCTTAGACTATCATCATTATTGATATTAAAATCAACATTAAAGATAGCTTCCATTTCTTCCTCTGTTTTCTCTGATCAAAGATATTAAAGACGACATAATCTGGAGGTAGGCATGATGCCAAATATTTCTTATCACAATTAAGTTTGAAATTTAAACTTCAACAGTTAGAAACTTATCAGTAAATTAAGAATTCAGTGAATGTGTTCTGATAAAATTCACATTTTTATACATGAAGTTAATAAAGGTATCAATAAGAGGTCTAATAGCAGAATGGCATCCATTATCAATTTTAGAACCAATCCAGATACCACACTGTTTTGGTGAGCGTGGTCAGAAATTCTACCAAACCCGAGAATAAAAGATCTTCGGACTTATGGAAATCAATAATGGCATAGTGTTCAATGAAAGAAATTTGCCAAAGCAATATCACCAAAACACTTCCTCTGGTGCCAATTTCAAACTGAAGGCCTATACATCTGATAACTATAGGGAACAGAGTTGTAAAAGTCATGTATCTGATACCACAAGAGAACAGAGTGGGAAAACTTATGTATCTGGTACCTCAAGGGAACAGACTGGGAAAACTTATGTATCTGGTGCCTTGAAGGAACAGATTTGTACAGTTTATATTTATGGTACGTCATTTTGAACCTTCAAGTTAAAGAGAAAATTGGACATGAAATGAAGCTTTGCATCCTACTCTTTTTCTTCAGATTGGACGAATGAGTCAGAAGGGGTATCTATAATAAGAGAATAAGGCGTGGTCTAGGGTAAAGGTCATTGGCTAGTAGTCAAGTTTATTTACATCATATTGTATTAGTTACTACTAGTCTAATCTTACTATAATGTTAAATGTCAATGAGAACCTGTACCTAGATATCAATAAACAATAAATATATATTACTTTTATACTCATATCATTTCTACATTCTCTCATTTATAATATACCCATTACCCTTCCTGATCTATCTTTGATTATGAATCACAATTCTAGTTGCATTAAATTCATTGAACTAACATAGCTGAAAAAGCTGAAAGAGATTGTAAAGAGGTTTTTTACATTTTTATGTGTATCTGGGACAATGATAGCATCAATTAGCATTCTAATTTTCAATTAGACATCTGTGGTTATAGCAATTCTACTAAACTAAGTGTTTTATGACGTTGCAGCAACCACAGACGTCTGATTTTTATTTTGGAATGGTGCAAATTGATACTATCAGTGTCCCCTATAAAGAAATCCTTTTTTCAATCCCATTAAGGAGCTTCCAGTAATATTAAATAAAGCTTCAAGATCTAAAGTCGTTGTCCAATATCAGTATTAAATTCCAATTTCAATACTTTGATAGGAGTTGTTTCAGATGTTGACTCTTTAGAATGTTACTTTGGGACTTGATTTGCCACAGAAGCATCGCCCTTTCTATCCATATTTTCCTTATCACACATACTCAAAGGATAATTACAAATTTCTTAAAGGAGGTTGCACATATTTTACCTTACTGCAACATAACAAAAATGCAGATTCGGCAGATATTTTGGGTAATTTACATTCCATTCCTGAAAGGGAGTGCCAACAGGAAACAGACACATTACAGACAGGTACAAAATTACTTTAAGAAGTTTCATTGATTACTAAATAGTAAAGGGTTTGCTCAGTTTGCCAATTCTTTCAACATAACCTTTTTTGTAATAGTTACATCATATAAGAAAGATTTTGTGGTTAAGAAATGGGTGAAGCTTCATACTCACTTACTAACACACGCTGTCAGTCAAAATATCACATGATTAGAAAATTCTTAACCATTAAGTGAGCCACTAATAACCTTCATTCTTACAGGTAAATGATTAAAAAGTTTGAAAATAATCTGTAGGTTATTTAAACATTGTCTATATAACATTTAGAAACTTATAAAAGCAATAAACAATTTTATTATACTACAAATTCCTTACACAAGTTAAACCAAACAATACAGATTATAAGATTGTGCAGTTTATCAGGAAGACAGAGAATATTGTACAATGATATATCATATTTAACCCAGTTGGCATTTAAACTGTACTATTATTATAACTATTATCTTTGAGCTAAAAACATTCTCTACTTTATGATATATTTATAGGTTTTTTTTATTAAAGGAAGTACCAAGTCTATTTTTATGAGTCTCATCACAGGTGATTCTAGGTTCTGCTCTCCAAAGGTCTAAAAGCAAAGTACCATGATTTATTTCAGCTTACACTTTGGTTGGTTTAGAATCAGTTTCTGTTTATTGATAATCTAATTGCAGATGAACCAGAAGTTAGATTTTTGTTCTTGAAAATGTCACTGATGGCTACAGGAAGATCCAATGGTAAAGGTAAAAGTAAAGCAAACTTCTAATCAGTTATATTCGTTTCAGGAATTTGAGACTCAAGGAATCTTGCCATGGATCAATATGGGATTATATATATTATCAAATATAAGTAATTTCCTCCTTTCTGTTGTAGCATGATAATAAGTAAATTTCCACATCAATAAATCTAAACTTTCTTTGAAAAATCCTTATCTGCTTCAAAAAAACTGAATTAGACAAAGCATTTCCTTTAAATCTATGGTTCACTTCAAATATAGAAACTTATTACTGCAGCTGTTGAGATACCAGTATGTAGGACCAGAAATACATGTTCCATTGGTTAAATACACGTTTCATTACATAATTATATGTTTCATTACATAA